ACTACTACTACTACTACTACTACTAATACTACTACTACTTCTACTACTAATACTACTACTACTACTACTACTACTACTACTACTACTACTAGTACGACTACGACTACTACCACTACTACTACGACCACTACTACTACTACTACTACTACTACTACTACTACTACTACTACTACTACTACTACTACTACTACTACTACTACTACTACTACTACTACTACTACTACTACTACTACTACTACTACTACTACTACTACTACTACTACTACTACTACTACTACTACTACTACTACTACTACTACTACTACTACTACTACTACTACTACTACTACTACTACTACTACTACTACTACTACTACTACTACTACTACTACTACTACTACTACTACTACTACTACTACTACTACTACTACTGCTACTGCTACTGCTACTGCTACTACTACTACTACTACTACTACTACTACTACTACTACTACTACTACTACTACTACTACTACTACTACAACTACTACTACTACTACTGCTACTACTACTACTACTACTACTACTACTACTACTACTACTGACGGTCTCGTGCACCACATCACCACGGCTCAACCACCTTGGGAAGAGCGTCCTTGTGGGCGCCTCATTGCCAGTATGTAGCGGGCACCTCTTCTGGGTGAAAGGGCGGGTCTGACGCGCATGCAGCGGCGGGCGCTTATCCGAGGGCAGCTGGCCCCTACGGCCCAAAGTAAAGCGACAGCGGCGGCGCAGCAGCACACGGGGCGACCCCAGTACCGCCATCGAGGCCAACTAGCGCAGGAAGGCGCAAGAGGAGGCCAGGATGGCAAGCCAAAATGGCTAGGCGCACAGCGGCATCGCGGCAGCACACGGGGCGACCCCAGCACCGCCAGCGAGGCTCACGAGCGCAAGTGGGCGTGAGAGGAGGCCAAGGTGGCAAGCCAATTGGCAGGCCAGAATGGCTAGGCGCACAGATGACCGCACGCAGAGCGGAGGCTAAAGCAACAGGTGCTGCGGCGCGATGGGGGGCACCACTGTGGGCACACCGCGCTCGCGGGCAAGGCGGCGTTGCTGCAGCTGGGGCGTAAGCAGACCTACAGGTTCAGCACCTCTGAGAGTGGCAGGCACGAGATCTTGGCGTGGACTCACGTAGCCTCCCCGAAGGCATAGAAGTATCCGATGCTGCGGGCCTGCTGGGTTGCATCATTCAGGCGGGCTGGCCTGCCCCCTGCGCAATGGCTGCAAAGACCTGCGACGGCAGCGCTTGCACTTCTCCCCCGAGGTCGCCACTGCCGCCCGCCTGCCCTGAGGGCCCAATGATCTGGCGCTCGAGATCTTCGCCGAGGGCCACGTTCAGGGCTGCAACATTTGGGATCTGCTGCGGGAGCAGGCCCGTCGGCGGCGGCGGGTCCGTCGGCGCCGGCGGCGCCACAGGTGGCGCCGTCAGCGGCGGCGGCGGCGGGGCCATGATGGCCGCTGGCGGGGCCCCAACAGGCGGCGGTGGCGGGTCCTGGCTGCCGCGGGCCACGCCAGCTGGAGGGGCGCCGGCGGCGCGGACGGGGGCGGCGCGCGGGGCGACCCCTGTACCACCCCCGCCGCCCGTGAGGCTGCCCTCCCGCAGGTTGTGGCGGCGCTCGTAGAGCGCCAGCTCGTGTACTACTACTACTACTACTACTACTACTACTACTACTACTACTACTACTACTACTACTACTACTACTACTACTACTACTACTACTACTACTACTACTACTACTACTACTACTACTACTACTACTACTACTACTACTACTACTACTACTACTACTACTACTACTACTACTACTACTACTACTACTACTACTACTACGACTACTACTGCTACTGCTACTACTGCTACTACTACCACTACTGATCTGATCTGATCTGCTTTCGACGCAGGCCAACCCTATTCCAAGAGCCAAGCATTTCCACGGGGGGGTCTGCCTCGTGGATGGCCTACCAGAGGCCGAACACACAAGAGCGGAACGCCGCCAAACGGCGGCAAAGGGCCCACAGGGCCCGAAGCAGGGGCGGGGCACGGACCAAAAACACCCCGACGGGGAAGCCCAACCCTCCGCCCGCTGGCGGCCCGCGCGGGCCGCGAGGCGCCTCCACCTCCTACTTCTTGCCCGGGAGCTGCTTCGCCATGATCCCCTCGGGGCCTTGCCGATCTTCTTCGACCCGCGCCACCTTCTGAGGGCGACGCTGAGGACGCGCTTGAGCTCGACCATCGTAGCACCCTTGGGCACAAGGGGGGATCTCCAGCGGCGACCTCTGGAATTCGTGCTCGCAATTGTCGCCCGCGGCCGCGCGCCCACGCGCCTCGGTTTGCACCTTGCGCAGGGCATCCACGTTCCTGGCGGGCGTCGGGGCCAGGGCGCGGCCGCGGATGCTCACGGCCAATCGCACCCTCTTCGCGTCGCACACCGGTGAGAACGCAAAGTCCGTGATCCACTCGCTGGCGCCCTCGCCGCTGCCACGCTTGAACACGCCCCTCACCCTCGCCGGCGGGCCCGCGTACTTCTTGAGCTCTTTTGAACCACCCTCGCTTAGACAACTCTCGATATCTGTCAGAGCATTCGAAAAAAGCTCAAGTTCGGGCGGCCCTCCGGCGCGCTTCGGGCCTTCTGTCTTCGCGAGCTCGAGGCGCGACTGGGAATGGCCCCGACAGCCGGTCACTAACGGGAGGTCCGACGGGAGGTGGGCCCGCGTCAGCGAAGTGCTCCAGCGCGCGCGCGCGCGCCCCCAGCTGCGCGACCACCCCCATCGGCGACGACGCCGCTGCTATCCTTGGTCTTGCCCCGCTCGGCGCCCTGCCCCCCCGACGGCGCAACCTGCGCTGCCATCGACCACGACATCCAGCTGAAGAATGCGCCTGTCTAAGTGCTGAGATAGATGCACGTCAAGCACGCCGGCGCAGGGCTAGAGGCTCTTCTGCAGTGAACTCACACAATCTGCATTTGTTCGTCTGCGCACGCACGGCGGCCGACGAGCGCGAACGATCAACGCAACCCCACGAGCCACAGCCGCATCCATATGTTCTTGAGCTCGGGCACGAGCAGAACACGGCACCATACATCGCACACTGATTGCTGAACCAGCACACTCAACAACACTGGGCGGCCGCGAGCCCAACCCCCCCCCCGCCCCCCACCCCCCACCCAACCCCCCCAGCGTGGACGCACTGGGGCGACAACCTCACCTCATCGGCAGACCTCCTCGTCCTCGGCCCAGCACTGACACATGCCACCTTCGCCCTGCCCGCGACGCCCAGGCTCACACTGCGCGCGACATCCGAAGAAATGGGCCCGCAACGCCGTCAAGTCCAGCCTCGGAAAATCCACCCCTTCCCTCGGCAATCGCCCTCAACGGTCGGCACTCGCATCTTTCGAGAAACACGTCTCCGTCTTCGACCGCTTCAAGCGACAATGCATCAGAGAGCCGCCGGCGGGCCCGCGGATTCCCCTGCCGCCGTCGTCCGCCGCGCCCGGGCGCACCTGACCCTCCACCCTCAACTCTCCGAACACGACCCCTTGCACTTGGGGGGCCACGCGAGGCCCCGCGAGGGGGCGATAACCACGTTAGCCGCCGCACACGGGCCTCGACGAACACGCCAGCCGATCCTAGCTTTTCAATTACTTCCAAGTTAATGAGCAACCATGTTGATCCGCCCCCCTTCGCCCGAGCAGCTCCTCCGAGCGCCGCCCGACCGCGGCGCGCGATGAACCCCTGGAGCCCCTGGAAGACCAGGGCCCTCGCGGGCCCGTCGCGCTTCGCGAACGTTTCGACGCCGGCGAGGGTCGCGCCCACCACATATCTTCTGAATATTGGCAACCTATAAATATTGAAACCCACACACACACACACACACACCATTCCCCGCGCGGCCTGCCCCGCCAACGCGCGGCCCCCCGCCTCAACGTAAATAGAAAATCGCGCTGTCAGCCTCGCCCCCAAACGCCCGGCATTCGCGGCGCTGGCCCCCTGGAAGACCCGGCCCCCCAGGACGCCCCTCTCGAGCCTGAAGCCACCCACCCCGCAACGATACGGCACAGTTTCTTGTCTGCTGATATCCCGTTTCATCCCCATCTCCCCAAACACGTCAGAAAGCATATCGTTATGCCCTTTTTTTTCCGCGGTCTTGCGCCTGCTGTCTCTCGCAAAATAAATACATCTGCAATGGCATTAACAAAAGGGGCGAGAACGCCCTGCGCGACGGCGCCTGTCCACTGCGACGTCTCCTCTACGCTCGGGCGCTCTGCCTGGGCGCGTCAGTCGAGCGCTGCCGCGCACGCCATGGCGATGAGGGGCACCATCACAGGATCCCCAGGCACGCAGCCCTCACCCATCAGCAGCAAGCGATCCAGCTGGCCCGAGACATTGAAATGGGCCCACCG